TTTCAAAGTTCAGAATGACACCACAATCTGAAAGCGTCGTTTGCTTGGTTCTATTCCTGACAGAAAATGCAATGCACGTGATAGCGAAATTACAGAGAATTTCTGCCATGACAAAAGAGCAGGAAAAAATAATGAACGGTACTCAGAGGACACGAGAACGTAAAAAGCTGTGTAACACTTGTGATACACTTCATTCATTTGCTTGCAAAAGTCCAGTAACATCATTCGAGCTGGTCACAATATTTCAACACAACCAAAATCATTATCTCAAACAATTCTGCCCAAAGTTCAGCTTGTTGTTCTCTTTAATTAGCTATATGTCACATCCTGCCGAGTACATTTCTCCCGTTCTATTAGAATGGAAATGAATTTCTTACCACGACAAAATAAAGTTTTGACGCATTAATAACACGTGAGACGGAAGTTGATGACACAACTCAGTGTAAATGAAATAGTGCTGCGATCACTACAACTCCGTTTATTCACTTATTCGCCCAATGTAAACATGGCGTGAAATTATAGGTCAAAACCCATAAAACACGTTCACCTAAACATACGAAACAATTCAGTGCATTACGCTATAGTTTCACGTGCTGTAGACAGCGTATTGATGAGATTTATTTTGGTGTAGAAGCAGCAGCAACGAACCAACTTTGAACATACTAACTCGATGACGAAATTATTCTACACCACAATGCCTAGGTCCTATTCTTATATTTCGAACACAAAGGTTAGTTTATTTATAAATGCTCCCTATGGCTAAGGAACATACTGGCGCAGCTGTAGACACTCCATTATAGTCCGTATGGATCGAATGTGGTCATAAGGGATTACACCTACATATAAATACAAGTTCTTATCTCAATAAGTGCCAGCCCAGCATGCCGCACTCCTACTGCTAGCATGTTAAATGAAACGCAAAAATATTTACGGAAAAGGTTTACTCTTATTCCATTATGACATTAATTTACTTACGCATAAAGAAAACGTCCCGTGACTATTCCTTCATAATCTGCTTCAGTCTTGTCTTCAAACCTTCCAAAATTTTAACCCTATTAACATCCACAAGGCTGGCATCAGTGCAGTATTTTTGCCATGGTTTATATGGGACGACCACCAACATGCTTGGAGGTGCGTGCAAATCATGTGACCATGTCCAGCGATGACACTGGCGGCAAATGAATAGCTGCAAATGGATATATACGTCGACTGAAACGCAAGATATCCGTAGAGCACGCCTTTCTGAAATGAACTAACTGAAACTGTCGACAATGGTAGCAGCAATTCGGGAACATTCGACATGTGCATATACATGTACACAAATCAACCCTTGTTCTCTTTCTATTGTCTTTACAGAATACATAGTTAGAAGCTTTAACCCTCGTGAAAGACCACCCGCCTTTTCACAGTCAATGATGACTTTTGGAGGGGCATATATGGTAAGACGTCTCCAAATCGGTATTAAACGTTCTGGGTAGTCATACGTCAAACAACTTGACTGATCTATCACGGTCTCCTGATATATTCTTGAAGAATTTCGCTGGCACCAATTTTTCACCCTTTACATGCTTTTTGTAGACTATCTTATCTTTGTAGATATCGCTTCATTTGTTTGTGGGAACTTTCAGCCTTACTATCATTAGCATTACCCAAAGTTAGCACATTGAAGGCTGCTGCCCAAAAGTGTCGTTTACCCATCCGACACCGTTGTATTTACTGACTGACACCAACGTTCAGCCTGCTTATATTTCAGAAATAGAAATTCAGTCTAGGAACAAAGAATAATCATTGAATTACTCCCCCCTCCTTTGACACTGCCCTATATGGCATAATTACTTCCTCACAGTAGGATTACTTGTCTATATGTACTTTTTTTATCCAGCATGAAATGAACCCACTTTTCTACTGAACGCGCTGTAAACACGAGAAGAACACAGTAAAATTTGTGCTTACTGGTGCGTTAACTTGACTGCATCTATTTCTAAAAGAGCACAATCCATGATAAAAATCTTCATTTAGGAAGTATCTTCCATTATTCCGTGGGGTCTGCCGAGAACCAAAACCACATAGCGCTCCAAATCATCCCTTGCCCAAGCAAATAGGAATGGACTCACACGACCAAAGTTATCTCTTATGACAAAGCGGAACAGAAAATGCCTGCATATTTATTACTTATTATTCATTTATCTTTATCGTTCGTGTTTTATGTGGAATCGATTCCTATAGGCTTCGGGAACTACCCGTACAACTCTCTCTGCCCATATGTCGAAGAAAACCCTGATAGGTGGATTTTGGTTGTCTTCGTCTGAATAAAACTCCATCATTTTCCCACAGTATTTCAGTAACTGAGGATGTCATTACGACTGGATATTCTTGAAGTTACTTCATATGAAGTTCACCGTACTCTTATTGACGGAGGCTTTCATAACTTTAGCATCTTAAAGGCTGATTTCATTGTAAAATTTCACACTAACGCGCCTCATTATGTCATCAGATGAGTGCATTTACTGCAGAAGTGGCTGCACATTCTCTTTCTCCTCTACTGTTAGCCACCTACTCCAAGGACCATTCTTCATGTACACTGTCGTGCATAAACGGTTATACACCATCTAGTTGGACGTCACGAAGTTTTCACTGCGTTGCAAAGTACGCGTAATGAAGAAGAGTAGTTCCCAAAAATATACCTTAAATATTATTAATACTGTGATACACCTCGTCTTAAAACTATTTCCTCAGTTTTAGACCACTTTTCACACGTTTCACCACGAAAGTGCACTTAAAAGCTACATAGATGTGTATAAATCTCTCACCTGCTGTTATTTAGCCCCTATTTACGTAAATATATATATAGTATGTACGTGATAAGTGCAGCACAAATGCGTCATTGTCATTTTATGACTTCGTCACACTATAAAGTCTTTCAATGCACTCTTGAGTTCTTGGCGGCTGGAAAAATCCTTCTCAGCATTATTTCATGGGAAACATTTCAGCTATGTTTGTGTTGATTTCACTCGTAATTACTCACTGCTTGCGTTCGTTATGGAATTCTAAGAGCAAATTCGTCAGATAGTGTTGATTACTGACACGGGTTATGACAATTTATAGGGCAAAACACCAGATGCGGATTCGACTGAATGCACATTAATATTGACTATTGCCACGCAGATTTATTTTACTGCACCCACGTCAGCCAAAGCCGCCATTTGTCACTGTTTGGTTGTTCCGTATTATTAAAAATACATCTACCTCCAGTCAACTCCTTGCTTGTTGTTAGTTACACGTCTACTTACGACCACCGATATTATGAGGTATTCATCTCTGAGCGATTCCTCATCTGTGATCCAGTACAATACATAATGCGCAGTTTCAGTCATTATGGGCTAATCAAATTGTGAAACTGCTCATTTTTATCATCAAACAGAGCCTAGAACAGTACTTAACTCATTACTTCAACTTTAAATACTTTGGAAATGTGTTCTTAAGCGCCGACCATGAAGTAGTTATGCAACCGCTCAACACTAAGAGGCGTAATATCACGAATAGTTATAAATCTCATTCAGTAGCTACATGATAATAGCATACGTCAAGTAATTCACGATAGAAAGCCTATCTAAGGCACTGAAATACGGACGTCAGTTAAACATGACTGTCTTACATCTCCAGTTATACTTTTCCACTGTCGTGAACCTTTTATACGCAACAGAAGCTTAATCAAGTTCGCCATCTAACAGCCGCAATACATGATTACGTCAAACTAACGAAAAAGAGATGGAATAGATCCGCGGAGCTCTTTCAAATATTTATTTCTTTTCCTGGCGATACAACCATAACGCTACCGTCTTATTTACGAGGCAGTTGGTATTCTCACTAAGCAGCGCGTTAGCGTGGGACGAGACACAGGGAGGATGCTAGCTCTAACCACAGTAAATGTGACTTCATGACCACGTCTCAATCACACTTTGCAGCAGTTTTGCTACTTTAATTGCATCAACGTCTTGGTCGTGACACAGACAGAAATCGTCTTTCCAAACACAGTCAACTTCTTATTTTCCTCAGTGTTTATTAAATGCACTACAAATAAGTGTCTAGAGTGACCACGTGAGAGCAGGAGAATCAATTATCTATATACTGGCTGGCTAAATGGATCGTCAATAATTAACCGCCGCAAGGTCATATGTTCAAGACAGTGGATACCGACACACACCGTCTGATATCTGAGGAAATCAGTTGTTTTCTTGGTGTTGTGTTTGGTTATTCTATGTTGTTTTAAAGTGATTTTTCGACTAAAAAGCGTTATAAATATCATACTTTAACCGATAGCTTTGCAAAAACGGAGATTTGTCTTTTTCAGCACTGTGGTCGGACACCTAGTTGTCATCAAACTGAATCTTCACTGGGTATCAGGAATGTCAAAATTCCCAGTAAAGTGTCAGTTACGGTAAGAATTGTGGAAGAAATTAGGTAAATGAAACATACTTTCCTAAACGACGAGGAAGTGTTTTGAATGTGGGTGAATTTCGTAATACTCGCAAGATTTAACAGATGTAAAGGAATGTGAGTTGATTGATCGGTAAGATAACAGTGGAGCGACAAGCTTTTAACTAAGAGGTAGTTTGTTTCGTAGCAATTACTTAGTGGTAATCATTCCGTAACACATCTTTCACCGTTTATATTTTCCGGGTTACGATCATTACTTCCGCAGTCGTTCAGCATATTTATAGCTTTCTCTGAAGCATAAACAGAGGATATACGTATGAATGATGAAACATTTGTGATATTATGGTTGTATTTGTTGAAATAAATATTCCTAAAAGTTTTACAAGACACTTATATTATTTGCACATATTGTTTGTCGAAGAGAAAAGTGATGCAAACTCAGGAGACGTAATATGCGTAAAAAGTCATGATCACATCTACTTAGAATGGGTGTAGCAGGATACTTTTAATGGTTTTCAGTATTCACTCTCACCAGTAGACAAAAACAGGTGATATGTACACCATAACACCAAAGCACATCCGTCCCCAATTCTCGACATAACCTGCAAAAATAACTACAAGTTAGGTGAAATAAACTTTAATATACAAAATATAGCATCGGCGGTAAGGACATTAAAAGCTAACAGTAGTTGCGGGATAGACGATATACCATCCGTCATATACAAAAACGGTGGTACGGATATGATTGTATTATTACTTAGAATATTTAATATCTCACTAGTGACCGAAACCTACCCTGAAACTTGGAAAAACACATATATATTACCTAAGCATAAAGGAGGGGCCAAAACTAGTGCATGTAATTATAGGCCTATCAATATAACACCAGTCATATCAAGGATCATGGAGAAAGTAATCAAGGACCAAATGTCAGACTACTTTCTAAAACATAAACTCATCAACCTGTCACAACACGGATTCCTCAAGAAAAGATCTTGCGTCACTTGCCATATAGACTTTTTCAACGAAGTCACCTATAGAAGAGATAGGAGAGAGCTAGTAATTATCCTCTATTTCGATATAAGGAAAGCCTTCGACAGAGTCCCACATAGTCTGTTAGTCGGTAGGCTATGCTCACTAGGGATACGCAACCCCCTCTACAATTGGATAAAATCATTTCTGTATGACAGGAATCAGACAACTAAAGTTGGCTCAATGACCTCCAGACCTAGACCAATCAGCAGTGGTGTCATCCAGGGGAGTGTATTGGGACCCCTTCTTTTCATTATATACATAAACAGTATATGTGAATGTTTTAGTATAGGCAAGCCAATACTGTATGCAGATGACTTGAAGGTGACATATACCTGCACAAATACAGATATCGGCCCAACTATGAACTCCATACATGAAGAATTAGCAAAAATGGATAGATGGTGTGACACGTGGAGACTTGAGTTTAATGTTGAAAAGTGTGGATGGCTCTGCATAGGCTGTTCCAACCTTGACCTCAACCTAGCAATTCAGGGCCACAAAATCCCCAGACTCAAATCTGTACTAGACCTAGGACTGAAATATTCACACAATCTATCATTTTCAGAGCATATCTCGAATCAAGTGTCGAAATCACGAAGGCTTATTGGTTTCCTACTCAGGAACTTCTACAGAAACGAATCCAGAATACTACTGTACAAGGTTTGTGTGCGCCCACTCCTAGATTACTGCTCATTCATATTCAGTAGTACACGCATAGAAGACAAACTGAAAGTAGAAGGAGTACAGAGGTACTTCACGCGAAAAGTACTCGGAACCGATAACGGCACAAACTACTCTACCAGATGTGAAATCCTGGGACTAGAAACATTATGGTTAAGGCGACTGCGACTAAATCTGGTACTCTTCTATAAGCTTCTTAACCAAATAGTGTATACCCCTGCTAACTATACTCGGTCCTCAGGTAACACAGGATACAACCTTAGGCACACTAAAGGTACAGTGGCTATAGAACCATGTAAAACAGCCACCAGGCAAAAGTTTTTCTTGATTAGGTATGCCCAAATATGGAACAAACTACCTGAGAAAATACGACTAGCAAGCACATTGGCCTCCTTTGAAAAGGCACTTAATGACACACTAAGTGAGTTTGTAATTGATACCAATGGTAATTCCCATGTAAGAGTTTCAGAAATCATAGGCCCATTTAATGTATGAACTCAGAGACTACACCTGTTGTTTGTTTTGTCTCTATTTATAATTCCAGACAAAAAAGCAGCAGTCATGACAATAACACCCATTCAACCAAGAGTCGATCAAACTATGTCTACCTGATACAAAGGGCGAACCATAATCAACATACGAATGAAATATGAGAAAACAAGGTAGAAACTTACCGCAACACCACATGAAAAGATAAAAGTTACTTGGATATCATTTATAATCCACCAACTGGTCTCCTACCCAAAAAGAATGCGGCGATGTTTTATCCAAAATGGCGAGGAAATACATAAACCCACAGCTGCTGTTGTTAACACTCAGTGGGGGTAGGAGCCAACAAAGTAATCCTTTCAAAGCATATGTATACTTCAAATGGGCACGGAGACTTTGTAGAATACGTCATAATCCAAATCACTGCCTCTACAGCGCCAATAAACCTGGATATCTATGATATAACGAAAACATGCTGAAAGCTGCATCTCAGATCAAGTTGATTCATTCGATGGTAATGATCTGCTCCTGCATGCCTTATTCGACATATTGAATGGAATGGTCCGCGGTTATTCTGATACCAGATCGAAAAGAATAAAAAATTCACCGGTTGCTGAATCAAAAGTACTTCTCTGCATGTTTAACTGTATTCTAACTGCTATGATTAATTCCAAACCATTTATCTCATAATCAATCAAATTCCAGGAACGATCCAATTCTACCATTTGAAGACGCTGGCGAACATGCTGTAAATGAGTATTCATGATCTGAAATGAAGAAGCAACTGGTTTTCAAATAGTTTTTCAACATTTTACTCAACTTACGAGTACAGTCCGCCATGCAGACACAAATGGCGCAAATGGAGAATTCTGGAATCGACCCCAGCACCATCCGATGCAGTAAAACAACTTAATATGACCTTATCTAGTTTTCGCATCCACGATCGAATTTCTTTCCTGTTATAAAACTACGATAATACTGCTGAAAAATGGAATAAATATATCACTGATCTCAACATAATACATCAATAAACTTTAAGCCAAGGGTGCTGTTTACAACAAAGTTATATAGGAGAATTGACTTCAAGCTTTATTTTTCCCAGATATTTGTAATACATCCATCTGATGTCTGGGTTTTTTGTTAATGCGAAGACAGCATTTCTATATTTCTTTATTTGTTGCACAAACAGAATTTAAAGCAGACTGTTCCGATGGACTCTAATGTCAGAAAGAACAACCAAACTGTAAATTCATCACACCAAATTATGTGTAATTTATACGATAACTTATCCATGCCTGTGCAATTGGTATGTTCCTGCATAAACAGGAAGGAATATATTATTATTATTAAAACAATATTTATGCATGCCTATACAATTGGTGTACCCTACATGGCTAGGGAAAAAATGTACCTTATTGTATTATCTTTACTAAATATGCTTATTAATATTATGTGTAACTTATCGAATCGATGATGCCTGTAAACTGGCGTCCATTATTTGAAAAATGAGAATATATATTATTATTATAAACCTGTGTAATAAGTTGCAGTATTTCATGACAAAATAACCAGTGGGGTGGAGTGACATGATCAACTGGTACGTAAATCTATGTGGCAATATTATCCTGTGTGAACCCGTCAATGCAGTTGAATATTGAACGATCAATTCATGGTTGTTTGCTAAAACCCAACTCCTCCATATTTTTCGTGGGAGTCATCAATCCAGCAGTCATCGTCTCATCGTTCGCTGTTCGTTGGAAGATAGAGAAAAACTATCAGAAGTATTATAGTTACTTATCGTTATAACATTTATTCTTAGACCTTGTGTATAATAACCTTATTGTTGGTTACATATTGATGGAAGAATAAAGGATTCTCGAGATGCCAATCTGTGTTCTGGTTTTTCGCGTTGGTTAATGTCAATTGTTTCTGAAAGTCTTCGAGGGACAGCGTGAGGTCCAGCGCAGTTGGACCTGGATATTGACAGCCTACCTTCCCCAACACCAACTTTTCTCAAGCAAATTGCTCAATGGTGACATATCCATCAATCGACCTGCTATAGCTTTGTAAACTTATGACATGCACATGAACAAATCACCTTCCTAAGCAACCTCATGTCCAGGCAATACCGCAAAACCTTATCTTCATCGAACTGCGAGCGTAACTTCGCTGAAGCGGGCATTTGATACGAATCAAGCGGAATACAACGAAGCTGTCGAATGAATGGACCAACGACTTCGACAAATTTGTGTGAAGAAATTGTTTTAAGCGGACTATGAGAACACTTGTGGAGAATAAGGAGGCCTTTTTGGAACATATACAAGGATACTGTCCTATATAATAACTTTTTAACATTCTATTACTTGTATATGGACGTTTATTTAAAATTACGCACATCTACATCTGACACCGCATCATTTTGGGCGGCTACAGTTTACAGTCCTCACTTTAACTTGGCCCACATATATCGTGTCCCCTGGAGCTGAAAAATATGGTGTATATCCAATTTTTATTATTATTATTATTTTGAAGCCCGCTTCATAAAAGTGAAGTAAGTACTAGCCGCAACGTTCACCCAAAGGAAAATCATCCAGTCACATCAAACATAAGTGACCTTCAAGTGCCAAGCCTCTGCACAAGCTGTGTATGCCACTTTCCATTGTCCTTGACTAAATTGTCATTGTGGCAGTGACATTTTGCTTGTTAAGATGAAGTCAAATTGCGTTGAGGTATGAGAATTTTGAGTCGGTTCATTCTTTAAATAACAGTGATTCGAATCAGATGTCAACAAAATGAGCATTAACAACACATTTCATTTACAAAATTTTCCAACATCAAAAAATCGCTGGAGGATAGGCAGAAACTATGATACCGGGCAAATCACCTAGAAAAGGTATGACGAAACAATTCTAATTGTACTTGAAGGAGCTGGAAAGTCAGGCGAGCCACGACATTATTGCCATCATTGTCCTTCTGCTGAACTTCTAGCACACTATGTTTTCAATGTTTCTGGTGCACCTGTTGTATTTGTGCTGCCACTGGGTAGCTTATATTCCTGTTTGAAGAGAGAAAGAACAAACATGTTTGCAGGATAATACGAGCCCGTTTTATTTCGTGAATACCCATCAACCGCATACATCCTGTGCGTCGATGGCACAGTGGTTAGGACTCTCGCCGACCATGCACATTGTCCGAGGTTCGATCCCCTGCCGACGCACACCTGATATCTATGGTCGGCCTGCAAACTTTTGGCTACCGATATCCATGCTGAAAATTCCATACCTGTACCAAAATACAGTGTGGAATCAAGCTGAAATAAAAAAATGTAATTATAAGTTTCAAAACATTTTTGGAACATACTTTTTCATAATTACTTGGAGCTATAGATAGAAGGTATAAGGAACATAATTCCAGAATTTGATGTAGGTAGACAGATTATTCAGTGTCGAAAAACAACTAATTATATATAGTGGAATTAGATGAGAGGGGTTACAGTTCGGATTTCCATTGGAAAACACAGATTGGTTAGAGGCATATAACAGGGTCAGGGTCAGAGAACAGAGTGAATTTAAACGTCTGGTGGAGATTTTAAGAGGGATGAGGTGAATAGTGAAGTAACATTTTTTATATTCCTGTTTGTCCGAAAGGTCGATGTAAGTGAGTCTTACTGGAGTTCAATCATAGTGATTGATCGATAGAGCTGAAGGATCAGATGATTTGTGACTTGTTTTAATATTTTAGACACCACTGGGCTCTATGTCGCTGTATCGTATACTACTTCTAGTTTTGTACCAATTAGTTCGGTACATCACCTAAAGCGTGTTTCACAGATGTCCTGGGACCGTTGTTCCTTGATTCTGACGTATTTGTATTTGTTTTGATTTTGATTTTTTGTGTTTTGATTTAAAGCTTGACTCCACACTGTATTTTGGGTACAAGTATGGAATTTTCAGCATGGATATCGGTAGCCAAAATTTCGCAGGCCGACCATAAACATTAGGTGTGCGTCGGCAGGGGTTCGAACCTCGGACCATGTGTATGGTCGGCAAGAGTCCTAACCACTGTGCCTTTAAAGGGCATCGCCCTAATAAATCACTTTCCGAAACGGTTGCTCATTAGGCATTCGACTTTCAGCCAACAGTTCTAGGGTACGAATTGTTTCCCACCCGCATCAGGCTCGACAACTAATTAGTGTCATTAACCGTCTTTGCATACGCCCGTCCGATATCTCGGTACATGAAAAGTATGAGTTCTTGTCACATAAGTGCTGTCAATCAAGTCTCATAAACCGTTAATGCCCAGCTCTCGCTACGCTGGGCCTCACGCTGTCCCTCGAAGATTTTCAGAAACGCTTAAAATTAACCGACGCAAAAACCAAAACACTGTTTGGCGACTCAAGAATTCCTTATTCTAACGCCAACATATAACCAGCAATACTGGAATTACAGACTAAGGTCTGTGAACAAATATTACAATAATAAATCACAGTATTACTTCTGACAGTTTTTTGATCTTCTTTCTGAACAACAACCTATGAGACGATGACTGATGGATTGATGACTTCGCGAAAATATAGAAAAGTTGGGTTTAAGCAAACAACCATGAATCGATCGTTCACTCTTCAACTACAGTGACAAGTGTTATGTAAGAAATTTGTTGTGAATGGTTTTATTTGTAGATTAAATGTTGCTCACGACCTATTACATGATCGTCAACTCGTGCTTCTTGTGTAATTGAAATTCAGTTTCTATTCATTTCCAAACGTATCTTCATGTTTTAGACGTGGATTCAGTGCTAAACTCACTAGTGGGAAGTGGATTTCGCTAGTGGACGAGGTTCGCAACTTATCCTACCTAAGTTTTTCGATCTACCTACATGGATATAGAAAATGTGTGTTTGAGGGGTTCAGATTTATTAGGTCATATCACGAAGTCACAACAATTAGAAGACCATGGAAAACTGGGGAGGTCTTTCGTCGTCTTCGTGAGTATTTCGCAGTGCGCACCCATAATCCAACTGGCGATCTAATGCACGACCATCAAGTCACCAGGAGAGCCTGTAGAATAATTTACTTGCACTACATTTTACTGATCAGAAATCATCAGCGAGAACGCGAAGTCATGATAATATATTGGGTTTATTCCAGAAATGAGGAACTTTCAGCGTTTAGTACAGTAATGAATCCAACGTTATAATAACAGAGGTAATAATTTATACGGGACACTTATCTTGATAGTTTTGTTCAGTAAGAATGCGAATATAAAATTGAGTGAAAACATTACCAATACAATAAAGAAAAAAGTTGGGCCTTTTAATAAGAGTTACACAGTAAGTTATGTGTGAATGAATTACTGTTACACTTGTAAGCTCTAAATTGTTCTTGAATAGTAAAGTTATAAAAGGTTTGAGGCATATCATCTTGTATGAACTCGTGGACTTATTAAGTCATGACATTATTTAGGATAAGACTTGCGTACTGATGTTGTAATTGCGAATGGATTAAGGAAACTAGGATTGTTAAGAGTTACATGTAATCTTTTTTGGTCCGTTTTAAGTACTACCTTGCTCACCATCTCACCAAACGAATTATGAGGCTGTTATGCTTGTCTTCGCAGATTTTAACGGGGTGTCATGTTTACATAATTGCGGTAATATGAATACAGGCTGCACAGTGTTGTCCACAAAATAGTTTTGTACACTTCCTATCTAATCAACAAGCTAGTATTGTACTGTACCGCATTAATTACGTTTTGACCCCATGATCACTAAACTAAGCCTAAATGACTATGCTATTTCCATTATCACCTGATAAAGCTGTCGAGCCAAATGTTGATGCCTCAGGATTAT